CCTCCTTGCCAGCTCTGGCTGAAGGACAGTTCCCTTCTGCCCTTCAGATGGTGTAAATAGCATCTCATTGTGGTCTGAATTTGCATCGCCCTCATCAGCAGTGAGGTTGAGCCTCCCTTAGATGGTATTTGAACAAATTCGTTTCCTCTGCCCTAACATGCCTGTGCTCCGTGCGTGTTATCTATCTTTTATATTGGATTGCTTGATTTTCTTCTTCCTTGATTTGCAAGAGTTCCTTATGTATTTTTGAGGCTGTCCCCCGCTGCACTCCGCAGACATCTCCAGTTGTGGCTTGCTTTTCACTTTCTCTAAGGTGGCTCCGCTTCTCTCTTCCCCCCCACACCTGTGCCAGGGAGGCCACTTAGCATTCCTAGTGTTGGGGGAGGTCGTGTGCCTCTCAGAGCCCTGTTTAAACTGACCCCACTGTTTCTCTTGTCCCTGGCGCCTTAAGGGACCCCTTTCCTCTTCCTTCTCAGACCCCCTCCCATTTTTGGCGAACACAACTTAGTTTGGGGAGCTCCTATTGGGTTGGGGGAGAGCATCCCGGGGCAACTCGGGCCTTACTGCAATGGTGCCCTCCCACCTCGGTTATTTATCACTTCCGGCTGCCCACCTGGGGGGCTGGGCCTCCTCCCCGCTCGACTGGGCCGCAGCCGGGCAGCTCCGGGCGCTCCCCTGGGGGCGGGCGGCGCGGGGGAGGGGCCCTTGGGGGGCGGGGCCGGGGGCCGGGCCTGCGGCGGGGGCTGGGGGGGGGGGGCGGAAGCTGCCGGAGCAGATAAGGGCCGAGGTCGGCCCTGCGGTGAGACAGTGCGGGACACCGCCTCCGCCCCTGGTGTCCCCAGAGCGCCCCCGCACCCTGGAGTTCCCCCTCCTGCTACCCGGGCTGGGCATCCCGGGAGGAGACCCCAGGGAGCAGTGGGGGATGAGGCTCCAGCCTGCTCACTCCGCCTCAGTGAAGAGAGGCAGCGGGGCTCCACGCCTCAGTTATCTCAGCTGGAAAATGGGGGTAGGAGCTCGGTTTTCCCCACAGGGCTGTTGGGGATGCACCAAGTGCAGGCTTGTGAAGGTCTCTGTGGGTTGGGCGAGTTTTGAACAGAGGGTCCCCTGAACGTCGCATCGCATCATTCATCCCTATTGTATAGATGGCAAAATGGGGCGTTTCACCCAAAGCTCCAGAGCCAGCATGCAAAAAGCAAGTGAGAGGGGGCTGGAACGCTTCCCACCGCCCCACCCTGGGGACAGATCTAGGTTCCGTGGAGCCTGAAGCTTAAAACCATTTGGGAGGCACTCTTTAAGGAAAAGATTACAAAGTCACAAATACAAAATTGCTGAGGCTGGGCGCAGTGGCTCACGCCTGTAATCCCAGCACTTTGGGAAGCCAAGGCGGGCGGATCACTTGACATCACGAGTTCGAGACCAGCCTGGCCAATATGGCGAAACTGTCTCTACTAAAATACAAACATTAGCTGGGCGTGATAGCGGGTGCCTGTAATCCCAGCTACTCCGAAGACTGAGGCAGGAGAATCGCTTGAACCCGGGAGGCAGCGGTTGCAGTGAGCCGAGATGATTGCGCCACTGCACTCCAGTCTGGGTGACAGAGCGAAACTCTGTCTCAAAACAAGAAACAAAAAACAAAAACAAAACAAAACAAAACAGCCGTTCGCGGTGGCTCACACCTGTAATCCCAACACTTTGGGAGGCCAAAGTGGGTGGATCACCTGAGGTCAGGAGTTCGAGACCAGCCTGGCCAACGTGGTGAAACCCTGTCTGTACTAAAAATACAAAAAATACAATAAAATAAAAAAAAAATTAGCTGGGCATGGTGGAGTCCTCCTGTAGTCCCAGCTACTCGGGAGGCTGAGGCAGCAAAATCACTTGAAATCGGGAGGCGGAGGTTGCAGTGAGCCAAGATCACGTCACTGCATTCCAACCTGGGCAACAGAGTGAGACTTCATCTAAAAAAAAAAAAAAAAAAAAAAAAAAAAACCCACCAAAAAACAAAAATAAAATTGCCGAGGCCCCTTCCAGGGCCTCGGAAGGAGCTGAGCCAATGAGGAAGCTCTAGTGCAACTTTCTTAGCGTCCCAGCCCCACCCTGCAGGCCCCCCGGAAGGGGTTATACCCCTCTCCCAAGAAAGTCAGACACCAACAAGGTTAGAGGGCAGGGTGACCCAAGGCAACATGGCAGGGAGGTGCCGCTGCAGCTGGTCCCCAACCCTTTGAGTGCCCAGGCAGCAGTCCCTCAGCCCAACCAAGAGCAAGGGCAGTTGGGTATTTGGGGACTGCAGCCTCAACCAGGCAGGGTCAAGCCCTCCAGTCCCATCCAGTCATGGTTCAACTTGCCACCCAGGGCCCGACCCTGCGGGATAGGAAGGTACAGAACTCCTAGGAGAAAAGGAAGGAGGAGATCTCAGGTATATGGAAGTGCATGGGACTTGGAGTTAGACAGGATTAGGGTTCAAGCCCCTGCAAGGCTGTGTTGGGTTTCCTCGTCTGTGAAATGGGAGTAATAATCATACCTACTGGACCCAGCCGGTGCGTGAAGGAGGGCTGGGCTCATGGCTGTTAGAAACACATTTCTGCCGGGCGAGGTGGCTCACGCCTGTGATCCCAGCTCTCAGGGAGGCAGAGGCGGGAGGATAGCTTGAGCCCAGGAGTTCGAGACCTGCCTGGGTAATATAGCGAGACCCCGTTCTCCACAAAAAGGGGAAAAAAAAAAAAAGACAAAAAAAAAAAAAAAAAAAGAAACACATTTCCCTCCTGTGAGATCTCCAGGCCAGGAGAGGCATTTTCTCCCATTTTCTTTCTTTTTTTTTTTTTTTTTTTGAGACGGAGTCTGGCTCTGTCGCCCAGGCTGGAGTGCAGTGGCCAGATCTCAGCTCACTGCAAGCTCCGCCTCCCAGGTTTACGCCATTCTCCTGCCTCAGCCTCCTGAGTAGCTGGGACTACAGGCGCCCGCCACCTCACCTGGCTAGTTTTTTTGTATTTTCTAGTAGAGACGGGGTTTCACCGTGTTAGCCAGGATGGTCTCGATCTCCTGACCTCGTGATCCGCCCGTCTCGGCCTCCCAAAGTGCTGGGATTACAGGCTTGAGCCACCGCGCCAGGCCATTTTCTCCCATTTTCATGTTGTCACCCAGCGGGTGGTCTCTCCATTGCAGAGCTGAGAGTTAAATGTGGGAATGTCTGGTGCAGATGCACTCAGTTCTCACTACCAAGAATGATGCCTCTTTGGGCCTGTCTCCCAGGGAGTTAAATCTCACTGTTACGTGTTCGTGCCCAGGACTGAGAGCCAAGGGGAGCCTGGCTCGTTCCCTTTCTGGATTTTACCATTTCTCTGCTCCTATGGGAACCAGAGGCTGGAATTTTTTCAACTCTTATATCCTCCAGCCTGGACCAGGAGAAGCAGGACAACTGAAAATAGGGACAGGGGTAGGAGAGCTGGGAAGAGGTGGTGGCGATGGGCCTGGAGGCAGCAGTGAGAATCTAAAAGGCTTGAAGTCTTTTTCCAAAGAGATGCTGCTTTGCCTCAGGGTTTGCATGGGCTTTCCACTGGATGGGCACACGGGAAAACTGAGTTCTCATCGCAGCGCTGCCCCTTTTCTTTTACTTTTTTTTGAGATGGAGTCTTGCTCTGTCACCCTGTCACCCAGGCTGGAATGCAATAGCACGATATTGGCTAACTGCAACCTCTGCCTCCTGGGTTCAAGCTATTCTTGTGCCTCAGCCTCCTGCCTCAACCTCTTGAGTAGCTGGGATTACAGGCACTTGCCACCATGCCTGGCTAATTTTTTTTATTTTTAGTAGAGATGGGGTATCACCATGTTGGCCAGGGTGGTCTCGAACTCCTGACCTCAGGTGATCCACTTGCCTTGGCCTCCCAAAGTGCTGGGATTACAGGTGTGAGCCATTGCCCCCGGCCAGCCATGCCCCTTTCTAGCCAGCTGAGCTTGCACCTGTCAGTCCTCGCTGACCCTCCGTTTCCTTATCTGTGAAATGGGGATGAGAACACCTGCAGCGTCAAGGATTACAAGATGCTGTGTATGTAGAGTGCCTGGTGAATACCTCTAGTTATTAAGGCAGTCTTGGGGCGGGGGCGGGGATGTCATGTAAGGGGCATGAAGTGTGAGCAGAAGTGGGGAGTCCTCCCAGGGTAGGAGTGGAGGCCTCTAAGGTTTCTGTCCCAGAGAGGGAGCCCCTTGAGGGTGGGGCTGGGAGCCGCAGCTTCAGCACTCCCCCAGGTCAGGAAGGGCCAGAGGGAGGCCGGGGGGGCCCTGGGGGTTCTCAGAGAAGAGTAGGGAGCTGGAGTGTTCACCCCAACTCAGGCAGGCGAGAGGGAGGCGACAAGAGGGTGGCCACAGTATGTTGCCGGCCAAACAATTACCCCAAGGCCCCACTCCACAGCCTCATTTGTTCCTCATTGCAAACTTCTGAGCTAGGCATTTCTCCATTTGTTTATTTACGTATTTTGGTTTTGTTTTTGTTTTTTTTGAGACGGAGTCTCACTCTGTCACCCAGGTTGGAGTGCAATGGCATGGTCTCAGCTCACAGCAACCTCCGCCTCCCGGGTTCAAGCTATTCTCCTGCCTCAGCCTCTCAAGTAGCTGAGACTACGGGCGCGTGCCACCACACCCTGGCTAATTTTTGTATTTTTAGTAGAGAGGAGGTTTCACCATGTTGGCCAGGCTGGTCTTGAATTCCTGACCTCGTGATCCGCCTGCCTTGGCCTCCCAAAGTGCTGGGATTATAGGCATGAGCCACCAAGCCCAGCCTTTTTTTTTTCTGAGAGGGAATCTCACTCTGTCTCCCAGGCTGGGGTGCAGTGGCACAATCTCAGCTCACTGCAACGTCCGCCTCCCAGATTCAAACGATCCTCCTGCCTCACCCTCCCGAATAGCTGAGTAGCTGGGATTACAGGCACGCGGCACCGCACCTGGCTAATTTTTGTATTTTTAGCAGAGACAGGGGTTTCACCATGTTGAGCAGGCTGGTCTCGAACTCCTCAGCTCAGGGGATCCACCTGCCTCGGCCTCCCAAAGTGCTGGGATTACAGGTGTGAGCCACTGTGCCCAGCCTGAAATTCCTTATTTTATCTTTAAAAAATCATATAAGTTTGCATCCTTCTCTTTAATGTGTGGGGATTTCCCTCCCCTTTCTTAAAAACATCTTCCCCTCTCAGTCTTCTACCTGAGTGGATGTTCCAAGAAGATACACCCGGGTTATGTCCCAAGGCTGTGGACATCTCATGCCCCACGGTGACCTCTAGGCCCTTCAAGCCCCAGGCCCTGGGCCACCTGGTCTGGCTGGGGAGAAGTTCAGGGATGGTTGAGGTTGATGGTTGAGGGCCTGCCAGCTGTCACGGCCTGGGGCTGGCCCCATCTCTGCTCTGAACTCTGCTGCCTCTCCCTCTCGTCTTGGCTCCCAGACGTCTGTCCATGCAGCTCCAACTGTCCCACTAGGAGTTCTCAGGACACCTCACCCCTCCCTCTGTCCACTGAGGGTCCTCGTTTCAGAGGGGGCACTGCCTGTCTTCTGTCTTCATCCTTCTCTGCTGGGCAGCCTGACTACATGACCCAGGGCTTTCTGTGCCAATTAAGAGGAAACTGAGGCCATGCGGAGAGGTGCCAGCCCGGGAAGTGCAGCGAGGAGGGCTGTTGGGTGTCCAGGGGCGGGTGTCTCTGGGTAGATGGGGGTACCCAGGCCTGAAGAGAGATCTGGGCACTGGCCAGGGAGGCAGGAGGAAGGAGGGAAGGCCGCGGGGCACCCGGGGGCTGCTGCCTGGCAGGTCCCCGTGCCCAGGCAAGGGAAGTTTCTTATTTCTCCTGCTCCGACTTCCCCCTTTGATTTATTATAGCCATGAAATGCTCTGCTCTCTTCTCTTTTCCTTGCTGTCCCCGGGGCTGGAGGAGCACGGGCCTCCCCGGGAGCGGGCCTTGGCCTCCCTGGACTCCCGTCTCCTTCCGAGGGCTGGGCCTGGGGAACCAGAAGCAAGAGGTGAGTGAGGGCCGGCAGGGTGGGAGGAGGAGGGCCCACGCCTCCCCAAGGCAAGGTGGGGCAGGACCCCCAGGGACCAGCACGGTCCTTGTTGGGAGGGGCTGGGGCCCGGCGGAGGGTGTGGCAGGTGTGGACCTGGCAGCAGGCGGCTCCCAGGGGTCTGGGGGGATGGTGGGCTCTGGGCCAACGGCCTCAGTGAGGACTGCCAGGGTGTGAAGGTTGGGCACAGAGTTCCTGGACACCAAACACTAGGTCAGAGAAATGGTTCTCTGTGACCCCTGACCCCATATTCTGATTTAAGGGTGGCTAAAGTAGGCCTGGCCCTGGCTGGCCTGGGGATTGGGCTGAGAGCCCAGAAGAAGGCTGAGGCCCAAGGCCCGGGGGACTCCGGGCTCCTCCAGGCCGTGGCTGGACATCCCCCTGAGGCCTGGCCCAGGCTGGCGAGGGCCGGAGGCTGTGTCCGGCTCCTCGGCAGGCCTGGTGGCCGGAGCGTTTCTCCTGGCCGCTGTGCGGTGCCTGTGGTAATGGGCTGTTGGCGTTTTGCAATGGGCCGGGGGTGGGGAGGAGGCGCACACATGCTTCCTGTGGTGACTGGGCGCTTCCTGTTTTCTCAGGCGCCGGCCTTGCTGCTGCCGATGTGGAAACAGGGGCAGCTGCAGCCCGGGCGGCTCCAGGCTGGGCGCCCCGACCCTGCCCAGAGGGGCCTCCGTGGGCCCAGCACCCCCAGGCCCCAGACCCGGGCAGTGGTGGCCTGAGTTTCCCCCACAGCAGGCCACCATCCCTCCCTTCCCTAACAGCTTCCGCCAAGAGGAAGGGGCCAAGCAGGTGGTCCCGGAGGTCAGAGGTCCAGGGGTGAGAGCACTAGGTAGGGAGTCAGGGCACGTGGCTCAGGTCCAGGGGTGAGAGCACTAGGTAGGGAGTCAGGGCACGTGGCTCTGCTCTCAGCTCTGCACTTGCCAGGTGCCACCGCCATCTCTCCCTCTCTAGGCCCGCCTTCCTCTTTCCTGCAGTACCTCAGCATCCATGGTCTAAAACCCCTCGCCCATTCCCACCCCGGTTCTGACATTCATTGGGCTTTGCATCCCAAGAGCCAAAGCTTTGGGGACAGCACTGAGGCTGGGGCCTTGGAGGTGGAACTTGGTGTAGATCTTGGCAGAGAGGGGAACAGGCGAGGCTGGCGGAGGTTCCACACTGGAGCAAGGCTTGGAGTTGGGAGGAGCAGGCCTACGTTTGGCAGACAGGGTGCTGATGGAATCAGGGGCGGCAGAGGCCACACTGATCTGGGAGGAATAGGCTTTTAGGAGGCTTTATTCCTGCAAACCTTGGGAAAGGGCCTGACACCGCCTAGCACGCTTCCTCACAAAGACGACGCGGTGATTTGCAGGGTGGGGCAGGGCCAGCCCTTCCCAGCTGCCGAGGAGGTGGGTGCTGGTGTGGGGTGACGTGGGCACCTCAGCAAAGACCCATGCTTCTCCCACCTGCCAGCCCGCCTGGGGTCGGGCCTTTGGTGCCCGAACTGCCCTTTCTCCGAATCTGTTGTGTTTTGTTTTTAAGCTGATATTGCAAGAAGGGGAGGGGAGATGACTTTGCTTCTGGTCGGGTTTGCTGACAGCATCTGACCTTGGGAGGAAGAGGCTCTTTGCGAGAAGGCCGAGCCCCATGCCCCCTGGGAGTGGCCAGTTCACTGACTGGGCTCAACCATCCCTTTGGTCCAGGAGGTTCAAGACGCCAGCTCCACAAGAAGCTCCCCTAAAACCCAAGTCCCGCCCATCACATCACAGTCCCAGCCAAAGAGGCCTTGGAGAACTCAAGACCCCTTGGCTCAGCCTGAGGGGCCATCAGGGCAGCCTGGCCCTCACTGTCCTGTTGCCTGCCTTGGTGTTTCGGGCCAGCCTGAGTGCTGAGTTGGCGGCTCAGCAGCTGCTCTGGCCACGGAGGCCCAGTTATAAATAAGCCAGGGTGGCCGAGTCATCATGTTCCGAAGCTCCCCCAGCCCAGCTGCATTACCTCAGTGACCACAGGTTGAGACTGCCCAGAACTGGGCCCCCAGAACCCACCGACCTAGGCAAAGGCTGACTGGGCTGTGGGCCTCCTGGGGTCCCCAAATCCAGGGCTTGAGCATCTGTAGCTCCTGAGACCTGGGCTTCCCTGGACACAGGCCGCAGAAGGGACAGGCCCATCCCGCCCCGCGGAGCCGACAGCTATTTACAAACCGAAACCGGGAGAAGCGAAGTGGCTGCGGCCAAAGTGGCTCCAGGTCCCCAGCCCCCACCCCCACTCCATCCCCAGCAGCCCATCCCCCTCTCCCCTTGGCTTCCTCTTTCCTTCCCCGCACAGCTCCCCCACCTCCCACTGCCTGGCCAGCCCACTCTGGATGACCTGCAAGCACCCTATGGTGTCCCCAACCCCACCTCTGCCGAGCCCCTCTCCTCTCCACTCCGGGACCCCATCAGTCTGAGCTCTTGGGAGCAAGCCCCCTCCCACGAGGCCCAGCCCACCCTGCACTGCACAAAGCCCATTCCCACAGTTCTCAGTTCCCCTTCATGCTTGGAAACACTCCAACCCCGATGGTCGCCTCCATGCCGCCGGTCCCTGCCTGAGGGCAGCTTCTCAGGATGCCCTTGACCTTCAAGCAGACACGAGAGGGCCCAGAAATCTGGGGTGCTGTGGTGGAGCTGCAGCAGCTGAGGCCTTCAGGGGGCACGTTTCTGGACAGGAAGCCCTGGCCATCATTCTCAGTCATCCAAGTTGGGTTTTGGCCCCCTTGTCAGGCTGGCGCAGGTCACAGGCCTTCACCAGGCACAGAGGAGCTGGGACAGATGGACGCTGGGCCTGAGCCTAACACTGCTTAGGAGCTGGCTGGTGGGATGGTACTGCCACAGCCCCCAGGGAGAGACCAGACTACACAATAGCCACTGCAGCTAACGGGCAGTCTCCCTCACATCGGTACAGAGGTTTACAGTTACACCCGTTAGTTTATTCTGCCCTCAGAACAAGCCTATTCCATTTTCTCCATCATGAAGTGGAAATTGAGGGCAAGACACAGTAGCTCATTCTTGTATTCCCAGCATTTTGAGAGGTCAAGGCAGGAGGATCACTTGAGCCGAGGAGTTGGAGGTCAGCCTGGGCCACAGAGTGAGACCCCGACTCTACAGAAAAAAAAAAAAATTAGTCCGGCACGGTGGCGCATGCCTATAGTCCCGGCTACTGGGGAGACTGAGGTGGGAGGATTGCTTGAGCCTGGGAGTTCGAGGCTGCGGTGAACTATGATCACACCACTGCATTCCAGCCTGGGCAACACAGGGAGACCCTGTCCAAGTTCAGGCAGCTACAAAGTGTCTGGAGATTCTAGATTTCACTGGGAAAATCTAGAACCCAGTGTCCTTCTCTCTTCCTCTGAATGCCCCTTGCTTCATCTTGTACCTTCATCTCCCTCCTGGGAGGGCGGACGTTTTCTAGCGCTGTGACCAGGGCAGTAGCAGGGCTGGCCTGAAGCTCAAGGGGGAAGCAGGGCATGGACCATAGCACCACCTGTTACCTTCCCTGCCTGGCCATCAGCGCCCGGTGGCCCCTGCCATCTCCCCCTGCCCTGCCCCAGGGGAGGGATCTTCCTGCCATGTTCCTTCCCTCCTGACCAGTCCCAGCTGAGGAGGCGCCCGGCCTGAGCCCCACTCTGCCACATCAGCTGGCTGACTGACTGCCACCTCTCTGGGCCCCACATTCCTCTTCTGCGAAATTGTCGTTCCACAAATACAGAGCGCCTACTTGGTGCTGGCCCTGTGCTGGGCACAACCTGTTTCTACAGCTGGGACACAGCCCCTGCCCTTGTGGAACCATAGTCCTATAGGGAAGGCAGATAACATAAAATCCTGTGAGCTCCAAGTGGGAAACTGAGGCAGTGGGACTCAGAGGCGCTATGAGTGTTGCCTGCGGTGGGAGAGATGTTACTTGGGATGAGCCTTGAAGGACAGGAATGAGTTTGCCAGCAAAAGCAGGATGGATGGGCTCCATGCTGAGTCACAGCCCTGTGCCTTGGCTCTAGCAGTTCCTCTGGCCTGGTGAACTCCTACTCATCCATCAGGGCCCATGGACACACCGTAGCACAATCAGGCCTGGCCTGGCCTGGCGGCTCCTCATCTCCTTCTTCCCGCCCAAGGCCTGAGCAGACCTTGACGCCAGGCCTCCTTTGTCATAATAGCCTCACCAGCCCCACCCAGGCTGGTGTCTGCTCCCTAGCTCCAGCCCCCGCCGTCCCCTGCTCCGAAAAGCACCGTTTCCCTTTTCTGGGTGACCACACGCCATGCACAGGGAATTTCCATCATAGCCTGCGGAGCCTCTGATTCACTCGGGCCCCTCACGCAGTTAACTCCTTCCAGGCCCAGGCCTCCTGCTCCTTCACCCTGCGCTGCCCCCGACCCCTAGCCCGGGACCCCTGGACAGCCCTGCACTGGCCTGGGGCCCCAGAGCCTCAAAGCTGAATTCAGCTCCTCACTCACTGCCCCTCCGGGCCCACTCTCCCTTGTTTGTCCCAAGGGCTCAAGGCACACACTCAGGCAGCCTTGGGCTGAGAGCACAGGCTTGGGAGGAATTCAAGCCTGGGTGGAAATCCTGATTCTGGCCCTTCTTTCTGGTGGAGGTGTAAGCGTCCACTCTGAGCCCCATTTCTCATCTGTAAAATGGATAACCCGATTGTAAAGATCTTGTGTGCTGGGCCCATGGTGGGAACTGTCATGATTAGTTTCCTTGTCTTTTCAGAGGGCCCCGCTCATCCTATCACAGGGTCCCTACTCCAGAGCTAGGCCCTTTCTCCCAGGCTGGCTTTTTCGCCCAAGAGCTGGTTTCTCAGACAGGGAGGGTGAGAGCAAAGTGCAGCCCGGGGGCCCCAGGCAGGTGGGGAATCGTCCAGGGGCAAAGGCTAAGATGCCACTGCCTCAGGGCCTCCTCTGCCAGCTTCCAGAGCTTCTCCCTGCATTTCTGTT